CTAACTCACATGAAGATTACACATACTGTTTATATAGAAATCCTAACTACTTTAACCAAATACTAACTACCTAACTATATTACTAACTGTATTACATTTTCACCCTTAATACTCCCCCTCAATCTCAACTGGGGAAACTCAGTTTGAGATTTGAGCAGACCGATCAATGGCGCTAAGTAAGAGTAACCCAATTCCCCAAGTTTGGGTGCACCAATCTTCCAAAAGCTGAAAGCAATTTGCAAAGTACTTTAATTAGACATCATCAACTTCTTCTTGTAAAAAGAACAAGAAAACAACTGTTCCATCATGGGTGTGTAAAATGGCAAAAATGAGTATCTTCTCTGCTTCAAATGTTATCAACCCGTGTCCAATTTCAACTCATTCAACTTGATCTGGGCAAATAATTTTCCATTAATCTGTCACTTGCAGTTTGGAGTAGTGTGTAATAATGAAGTTTTTCATCTTGCTATTTCCAGCTTCTGTATCCAACCAGTGGACCGAGCTTTAATCAGACATCCTTCCCCTGCCTCTAAGAGTATCTTCACAAAGAACAACCTTCTATAAAGGAGTCGTAGCACACCCTCATGCCGGTTATAACAATTTCTTACGGGATTACCCTTCGTGGGATTCACCGTCAACAATCTCATTCAACTTGGCTTCGGCCTTTAATATTTACAAAAAACAGAAAATTAACAAACTATAGTGTGGCATCGGCCTTAACTATAGCACCACGGGATCGCCCTTTGTGGATTTTACCAAAAAACAACTTCTTTGAACAATGGCATCGGCCTTCACAATTGAAAATCAACATCTATGTAGGATTACCCTTCGTGGGATTTACCTACTCACATCACGGAATTACCCTTTGTGGGATTTACCGTTAACAACTTCTTCTACCTTTCGTAGGATTTACCTATTCACATCACGGAATTACCCTTCGTGGGATTGACCGTTCACAACTTCCTTCATCGTATAACCGGACTTACTGTAGATTCATGCTAACCACTGAGTTGGTTAGACTCTGAAATTATAGGCTGAGATAAGAAAATATACTGCACAACCACGATATAAACGAATTGTAAGTAATCCCATCGGGATCTATTCCTTTGCTTAACATTTCTGATACCATTTGCAAAGCCCAAACTCTGTCTCCACAGTTCCACAGTGCACTAACCATGGTGTTGTATGAGCTCACATTCGGAGGACATCCCACTTCACAGTGCACTAAACATGCTGTCATATAGAGGCCAAAATGCAGATATGAGAACAAGAAACAACGCATGCAAGACACTGTTAGGTTTCTGATTCCCTTAGTCCAGGTCCATCAATGTTGTAAATGACAACACATACTATACATTCATTTGTCGTATCTTCCGATCCATAAAAAAATGCAAGAAGATCATCCATGAACCAAGAACTAAATGGTTGTTGCACTTTTGACGAGCTTCTAGAATGAGTCCTTTTGGTTTTCAATTGATCCCACAGAAGTTCAGCTAAGACTACCACAAAGACTTCACATGAAACGTTTGAGTTGGGCATTTCAACAAACACCTGGTCTGCACCCATGTCTGATCTTTCTTCCATACCAGAGAACAGAGTAGAGATCAAAGAATTTACTGACCCATTCCTTCAAACAGTTGGAGTGCACATAATCATAACCTGAAGAGCTCCCAAGATTTGCAATCTTGAACAAACAACAACCATTTCCTATACAAAAACAGAGTACAAAACAGTACTTTCTTTGAGCAACAGTCCAAACTGAACAAATTGAATCCCCAAAACCATCTTCAAGAATCAGAATTACCAATTAAGTAATTAACAACTGTTTCTTCATATACCCAATTAAGTAATTAGCAACACCACCTCCTTGAATCGAAAAACTGTGCTAGTCATCTACTAATCAAAGCAAGTAATTGAACCCAATTCACAGTCCACTGTTCTGATCAAAGATCTCTAAGAACCCTCCAAGAATCAACAAATCGAGTTACCCAATAATGAAATTAAGCAACTGAATCGGAAAAGCAACATTACCAGGCAAGTAGTGCAAACGCCAAGAGTTGCCCAACCGCCATGATCAAGATATCAAAGAAACCTCCGCAATCGGACCCAGAATACTAAGTCTCCTTATACTGCTTTATGTACCTCTTAGCAAGATTAACGTAGAAGAAGAGCGGTTTCTTGTTGTTGGATACCTGAATTATGTTCTTCTTCGGCACCTCAATCGATTGCGGCGGTGGAGATGGGACTCTCTGCATTTGCTCTGCCGCCATTTTGCTTTGAAATTTTTCTCCAACTTTCGATCTCTCGCTTTCGATCGGGAATAGACTCATGAATTTGATCGGAAAGAAATCAACCCAGAAACACATCAACCCAGAAGTAAAAGAACGATCATGGAAGCACCCAGAAACTTATCGTAATTCCTAACATCTAATGAAAATTTGGATAGAAACTAAAGCGAGAAACACAAGAAAAAAAAAATAGGAACCACCAGAATCCATGGCGTGAGCCTGGTGGCTCTGATACCATGTTAACTACATTGTAATGTTTGGGAATTGAAGAGAAAATCAAGAAGAAAGATGAAGAAAAGAAAGATCAATACAGAGAGTTTGAGAGAGAGAGAGTTTAGAGAGAGAAATAGGATTTGTATTGACTAACTCACATGAAGATTACACATACTGTTTATATAGAAATCCTAACTACTTTAACCAAATACTAACTACCTAACTATATTACTAACTGTATTACATTTTCACCCTTAATAGTTACCTACCCAAAAAGAGTCCAAATTATTTCTCTCACCGTTTCTGTTTCTCTTCCCCATGTCTCTTCGCACATACACGTTCTCTCTCTCTCTCTCTCTCTCTCTCTCTCTCTCTCTCTCTCTCTCTCTCTCTCTCTCTCTCTCTCTCTCTCCCCCTCCTCTCCGTTCGGGCTGACTTTGACTTTGCCTACGCCGTCTCTCAAAGCTACAACTGAATAGTGTTGAATTCTAGATACATGATTCCATTTACATATATTGATTCATTGAATCTTTGATTGATCTATGATGAAAGATTATGCCAATTTTAAATTATTGAATTTTCAAATTTGGTTTTGAATTTTGGGTTTTGGGTTTTTCTTATTTTTGCTAGGTACATTAGTCTATGAGGATGTTAATGTCATGATGGCTTAAGTTTTAATTTTTAATTTTTCTAAATTCTCAATACAAATATAATTTTTTTAGAGTATAAAATGTAAGTAGACAATTATTTATATGATATAATAAATTTAATGAAATCCGTCTAGTTCACCTAGGCCCACACCTAACTGCCTAGCGAGCCTAGGCGCTAAGCTCTGGCCTACTGCACAACTAGTGCCTAATGTCTTTTAGAACCTTGTATATAACTAATATATGAGATATTTCACTCCTATTATCACCAACACTTTTTTTGAAATAAAACCCAACACCTAGTAAAGTAGTAATAGGTGGTTAAGTTAAAACAATATATGTGATGTTGGTGGTGCACCATGTTGTACCTAAAAAGTTTAACATATTAGATCAGACTATTCTTTCGACAAGTTGCACTAGCTCCAATTTAGGGATATTGATTGTATCACAGGCCTTTGAAAAGTTGCGATGACGATTTAGTGAATAAATGATGACTGGCTCTCGAAAACATTAGTTCTCAATGTGGGAATTGGTTTTCCTTGTGACCATGTATGGGGCCAATGTGTGCCTAAAAAGTTTATCAAGATTAATGTATTTTTACAATACTTATAGACGTTCTAACCTAAAATGTTTATTTTTATTTTCTTTATTTAAAGATTATCTTTATAAAAAATTACTAAAAGTAGTGATGTTTTAATAACTAGCTATCCATTTGTATCGATCGTTATAAGATTTCATTTTATACATACAAATGACTAAATGATTTTTTTGATTATCTTAGACTAATCAGAAATTTTGTTACGATAAAAATACATTAACGTAAATTAATGAACAAGTAACACCTACTCCCATCATATATATATATATATATATACTCACACATGACTAAATGAATGCAAATTGAACTGATTTTTTTTAGAGATATATAATCTTTTGATATTGATTAAGAAAATAAACATTCAAAACACCTTAATCACAAATGAGTGGACAGGAATGAACATCCATGGGTTTGGGTTTATGCAAGTATTGTCCTCAATCAAATTACTGGGTTCTTTCTTGGCTAGCATTAATTTACTTGCCAGCTATTATGCAGTTTAATTGAAATTAATTTTTTTTTTTTGAAAAAATGATTTATTCACAACATTATAAGATAGTACAAAATTCAAACGTGAATGTTAAGAACTAGAGTACACTCATCTTCAGTTTTATAACTACAATTAAAGCTCTCCAAAATATTGATACTCCAATCGAAGGGTTGCACATTATTGATGCGGAACTCGGTAACTACGTGAGGTAAAACTTCAATTAATAGAAAAAAGAGCACAACTTATGCCTTGGGACAAAGATTAGTCAACTAGAAGCAATAGCTCTATCCTACTCCAAGTTACAATCCCTCGCCAGTAATGCAAACTTAGTAGATTTAACTCGCCACACCTATTCAAAACAAACAATATCAATTATAACCACTGAGAGCATAAAAACCATAATTCCAAATATCAAATAAATAAAAAGAAAATTAAAAACCAGCCACAGTAAATAAACAATTGCCCTACCTCTATACAGCCACAGATTAGCGCTGTAGTTTTTCTGCATTAAACAATCGTGTAAACCCTACCATCCACCACTTGTACGTCGGAACAGAGAATCACGACATGTCAACGGACGATAGGCTTAAGACATATCGATGCAATCTCTTGGAAATTAAAACCGACGCAGGCAAATAACCTCGCCTCCAAAAGCATACGACGTGTCAACAGAGCAGGACACATGTTGACCAACCAGCCTACGTGAAAACGCTATATATACCATGCATGCACCGTTCCTTCTCATCAATATCAATTCACAAGCTCGAAGATAAACATACATCTAACAATTTCATCACTTTTATTCACTCTTTTACAAAGCTAAAAATGGCATCCCAGGATCAGAGACAGAGCTACAGAGCTGGTGAGGCCAAGGGCCAAGCTCAGGTATATAGATTTAATACACACAGATAACTTATGTGTATAATTTTGAGATTTAATTTAAATAGTTAATTTGTAGATTAATAAAATATATTAGTGCATTTTTTGTATGGTTTTGCAACTGGTATTAGTGATGCATGTCCATATGCTTAATACATAATATTCACAAATCTATTAAGTTTTTTGCGTTATGGTATGCTATTAATCTAATCCTGAATTTTTTTTAACTAATTTAGATTGACGGTGTGATACATCTTACCTCAATTATCTGATAGAATAATTTTTTTAGGGGCAATTAGAATATATATCTACAATGACCTAATGGAAGGGTTTATAGTATACATATTGTATTTATCATACTTACAATTTTAATTGTAGTATCTGGTGGTTTAGCTCTGCATGTATTTGTGGTTGAAGTTATTTATTTTATTGTTGCAAATTAATGTTTTAATCTAACCTAAACGAGTTTTGTCTTGATCTTTTAGGAGAAAACTAACCAGGTGATGGGCACAGTGGGGAACAAGGCACAAGAAGAACGGAACAAGGCCTATGACACAACCCAAGCAACAAGGGACAAGACATACGAGACAGCCCAGTCAGCCAAGGGCAGAAAACAGGCCCCTATGAACCAGGTGAAAGACAAGACCGCCGAGAAGGCGGAGCAAGCAAAAGAGAAGGCCTGGGAGACCAAGGAGACGGCCCAGCAGAAAGCAGAAGAGGCAGCCCAGAAGACCAAAGAGACCGCCCAGTACGGCAAAGAGAAAGCCTCAGGGATCATGCAGCAGACTGGAGAGCAGATGAAGCACATGGCACAAGGTGCTGCAGATGCTGTGAAAGGCACTTTTGGGTTGGGCAAGAATGATGATAAGGAAGAGGAAACTGGTGTTTATTATAACAAGGACTCCACCACCGGCACTACCGGTGGCACCACCAAAAGATCTTATTAGTTTAAAGTATTTTAAACTTTGTCGTCTATTTATATTTAGTGTCTGTTTTATTAATTTCAGGTGTTGGTTTGTTGTTTTGGTTCAATAAGTTTATGTTGGCATGTTTTAGAAGTCCTGTGGCTTCCCCATCTAACTGAGTTGGGCGAATAATATTCAAGCTACCTTGTATTTGGTGTTTTCGGTCGTCTGGTTTGGAGGAGGATATGTAATTTCCAGTCGTAATGAAAAACGATATAATACTGTTCGTGTTTATTGTACAAGCAGTGCAATTTTCTCTTCTTTAAGCAGAATTCATCTAGGTTACATGTTGGAAGGATAGTAGATGAAGTGTAAAAGAAGTGTGTATGGAACACACGAATTAAACCAAACTAAAAGTTAAAAGACAAAATTTTAAGTTAATAGGCATTCAAGTTTTTGTTTTTATATAATCTTCTTCAATTTCCCTCTTCCACATCTCCTTTCTTCAGTACTCCACTGATCCCTAGGTTTAGGTTTTGTCTCAGAAATTGAGGCTTCGCCTTTTCCCTTCGTTTCTGTGATGGCCGGAGGTTCCAAATCACAGCGTAATTGTGTTTGTTGTACCGCCTAGTGGTTTGTGTGGCCTCGCTTTTTAGCAATTTTTGCATTGTGTTCCTTGGTTTCGAATCTGTCACCATTGATCTGTTGTGGCAGATCCACACCACTGGTTCTTGTGTCGTGTTTTTGTGTTTTGTTGTGGTGGTCAAGTAGGGGATTTATTAGTGTGGGTTCTACATGATTTATTATCTCTAGATCAAGGATTTGGTCACTAGTAAATATGCATCCAGTTGACACCTCTCTTGCAAATGTGCTGTAATTGCGTTCTCTATCAATGGAATATCGTTATACTTTTATTAAAAAAACTAGACACACATACTAACTAGCAACTTTGTTTCCACGTTGTCTTTAACCTTCAAGTGAAAGTGGCATGGCACTAACACAGTCGTCAATTACCTTTTCCTCAAACTTTGCTAGCTAGAGACTAACGCGACCATGTAGAATAATGTATAAAATGAAATTATTTTTGAAAACCATAAGACATATTTTCATAATTAATTTTAATTAAAAGACATAAAAAACAGTGATAAAAAACTAAATTTTTTCTCTTTAAAAACACTCGACAATAAAACTGATTTTTCTGGAATGAAAATAAAGCTCTGTGCAGTCGGGCTACTGAAAAAAAACGTTTGCTCTCATATGATATTTCATGCAGCAGAAAACAACCAAAACCACTCTAATGCATTCGGCACATGGGCAACAAAAACAATGAAGACAAATATGGTCTCTCTCTTTCTAATCCACTGCTGCTAGTGGTACCGACTAAACTCTCTTAAGCTCGAATATTTGTCGGTGCGTGCAAGTGTGGTATGCAGCAGCAACCCCAACAAGATCTAATATGCATGGAACAAAACCAATATGTGCAGATAAAGAAATATTAACCTAGGGCTAGGGTATATATGCGGCTCATTAAAATGATATATTCTTTTAATTAAGATTAATAAAGTCATTAAGTAATAAAATAATTACATGCAAAGCCCATGACTTAATTGTGAACCCAAAGTTAAACAACCCGTTGCAAAACTAGATTATATGAACGTATATGCATGCCGAACTTATTTGAGTGGATGTTTTTGAAACTCTTAATATTCTTGTGATCGAGAGCATGAGAGACGCACATAAAATTAGATTATTATAATCGAAAACATGCACGGAATTAAAACATTACAAACTCATGTATTTTATTACGAATTGCCAACCTTATTCTAAGATGAGAATTCCAACTTTTATTCTCTTACTTCTGAAATGAACTTGAATTTAAAAGATATTTTTGAAGTTTTATGTTATTTAAAAGAGAATAATAATGGCTTATGAATCCAGTAATATAGGCGGTACGCCATAAAGCTGAGAAAGTTTTTAAGTGTCTCTTTCCTTTTATAATAACATATATGATCATATTCCGAACACACTAAACAGTATCAAATTTTACAGAGATGCGGTCCAACAGCTGCCGTGTAGACTATGGAAGGGGGTTTGGGTTGTCCATATTTACCCAAACATTGCCACTAAACCCAAACGTTTGCCTCTTTGCACTAGTAGAAAAATATGTTTGCGCGACGAAACCTTGCGCGACGTAGATCACTTCGTCACGCAAAGTATGTTTGCGCGACGACAACACACAGGACGTCGCGCAAGTGGTCTTTGTGCGACGGGACTTTGCGCGACGTAGTAATGCGTCGCGCAAAACAGTTTTGCGCGACGACGGTCAACTACGTCGCGCAAAGAACACTTGCACGACGTCCTGTGCGTCGCGCAAGAGTTTGGCGCCAAACCAAGCTTGTTTTACCGCTTTTTTCGAACTTTGCGCGACGCAGGTTCAATACGTCGCACAAAACAGTTTTGCGCGACGCATGATGTACATTATGCGTCGCGCAAAACAGTTTTGCGCGACGTATTGAACCTGCGTCGCGCAAAGTCAACACGAAAATATTCCTTTTTGTCTTTCTTTCCAGTGTTCTAACACTAGTCAAAAAGCTTCATAACTGCCTTCCCCTCTTCCTCACCTACAGACCTCCATAGCTGCTGATCACACTCAGGTGATTTAAAAACCTCTATGTTATTTATCCATTTTTTTATATATGATTGTATTGAATTTTTGGTTAATATTACCTAATATTATCCATTTTTTTATATATGATTGTATTGAATTTTTGGTCAATAGATGGGACTGATATCGGATGTGTTTGTAGGCAATGCGTTGATTGCAATGTATGGGAAATGCGGGTCGGTTGAGGATGCAACTAAAGTGTTCGAGATAATGCCTGAGAAGAATTGTAATTTGTTTGAATTGTAATTTGCTTTTATTGATAATGAACTTATTATGCAACGTTTTCATAACATGAAACATCGCCGACAATAATTGTAATTTGTTTGTATTGATTAATTATGGAAGACATTACTATATTAAAAAATTTAGTTGTTGCCATTTTCCTTTAACCTTATATTCTTTTAAGTTCGCCCCTACCCCCGAGAAATTATGTCTTCGCCATTGGTAGAGCATGCTAAGAGGCTGCTAAAGACGTTTGGATCAACTGAACATGTGATGGAGGCTAAGGATTTTGAGGTGCACACAGGAGCTGGCGTTAGTGGAAGAGTTGGTGACAAAATGGTTTTGGTTGGGACTTAATATGTGTTTACAAATTAATATTTCTTGTAGTTTAAGCAAATACCAAGCCAAAGTTCCTCTAAAATAACGGTATCTTTTATTTATTAGGCCAAGCATAAAATGAGATACATAATAGTATTATGAGAATATATGAACTATGGAAGATAGGCCTGACAATTCCTGACACGACCCAATAACACGACACGACACGACACGAAAAAAAAAATGAAACAAAAAAGAGAGGGAAAATGAAAATTAATAAAAGTTGTGAGAAATTTTATTTTTTTTAAGTTATTAACTTTTTATCACACATATGACATATCCCACTATTTTTATAATGACACGTGATATACTACTTTGTGTACCAGTCAATTATACGTACAAAATAAAGAGATTTAAATCTACTTAATAAATAAATAAATATATATATATATATACACACACCATTGAACTTGATGGGATACGAATTATACGAAACTAATTTCAACGATCCAACCGTCAAACTTGTTTGTATATGCTACGAGATCGTATCAGCAAAAAATTGCAAAAACCAAACATTCAGAGATTAAGTAACCGAACAAAACTTTTCAATGGTTAAAAAACGAAAAATCACGATTTAACGGTTATTTTAACTCCGATTTTGATTATTTTTTATAGCTACACTCCTTAATCCTATATGAATACAATGAATGAATTCGATCTTCAATTTAAAATATTTACACTAGTGGATACCAAAAAAATCTTATGTTATACTTAATGAAAGTATGAATAAACTCTTAAGTATTAGTGAATTTATTGTTTTGATGGGATACTCATTCTACGAAAGTAGTTTCAAGGATCCAACCGGCGAACATGTTTGTATATACTTCGAGATCGCATACGCCAAAAATTGCAAAAAACAAACATTCAGAGATCAAGTAACCAGACAAAACTTTTCGACGGTTATAAAAAGAAAAATCATGATTTAACGGTCATTTTAATTCCGATTTTGATGATTTTTTGCAGCTACACTCCTTGACCCTATATGAATACAATGATTGAATTCGATCTTCAATTTAAAATATTTACACTAGTGGATACCAAAAAAATCTTATGTTATACTTAATGAAAGTATGAATAAATTCTTAAGTATTAGTGAATCTATTGTTTTGATGGGATACTCATTCTACAAAACTAGTTTCAATGATCCAACTGTCAAACATGTTTGTATATACTTCGAGATCGCATACACCAAAAATTGTAAAAAACAAACATTCAGAGATTAAGTAACCGGACAAAACTTTTCGACGGTTATAAAAAGAAAAATCATGATTTAACGGTCATTTTAATTCCGATTTTGATGATTTTTTGCAGCTACACTCCTTGACCCTATATGAATACAATGATTGAATTCGATCTTCAATTTAAAATATTTACACTAGTGGATACCAAAAAAATCTTATGTTATACTTAATGAAAGTATGAATAAATTCTCAAGTATTAGTGAATCTATTGTTTTGATGGGATACTCATTCTACAAAACTAGTTTCAATGATCCAACCGTCAAACATGTTTGTATATACTTCGAGATCGCATACGCCAAAAATTGCAAAAAACAAACATTCAGAGATCAAGTAACCGGACAAAACTTTTCGATAGGACGAAGGATAACATCGTCGTTAGTAGCTCTGGTGTTGTTATTAAACAAAATTGTCCTATGCAGTGGGAGAAGTGGGCAGAAATTCCCGATAGGACGAAGGATTTGGTGCGAGACAAGTTGTCGGTTAGTATATTAATTTTTAGCCTTTATAATGAAGTTGTTTGTTAGTATATTAATCTTTAGCCTTTAACTACTTGGTTCTTCATAAAAATATTGTTCTTCTTGATGTTCTGTATATTCATTTTGACTTACTGGATTACTTAGGTATGTTTCGAATTTGGTAATGAAATTCAATCATCTAACTCTTTTATCTGGTTATTTAATTCATTTTGATCTATTTCATCAAATTTTGAAATGAACTCTTTTGTTTCTTATTCAAATTCATAAGCTAATCTTATCGAATCTTGTTTATTATAATCTTGTACTTTATGCCATGTTTGAGTTGCTTGTTCATGAATGTCACTGGGTTCATAAATTATATTTCCGATTCTTGCATTCTTTTCATCTAAATAAACAAATTCGGATTCAATATCATTTTTTTAGTTTTGTTTACAAATAATAAAAACCAAATTATATTATCTTAATATTATTAAAGTTCTTACTATTATTTTATTGTTTTTCATATTCGTAGGTCATTTTTGATCTTGATGATATATCCCCCGAGGTCAAGGCCTACTTAGATGAGACCTTAGCAACCCGGTACAAACATTGGAAGAACTATCTTCACACGCATTTTAAGCTATGGGATACTCCGGAGATTGCTCGCCTAAGTGGTTGCCCAAGCGAGTTGAAGGACCGGCCAGAGGATTGGGAGTGGCTCTGCAAACATTTTACGGACCCAAATTTTGTGGTATGTACATAATATTTTAATAATAATTTCTTATTGTTTTAGTTATTTTTAAGGTTTTTTTATTAATTTATTTCAAATAGTCGCACTAACATGTATATTGTGTGTTTAACAGAAGAAATCTGTTGCTGGCAAGATAGCTCAGGAGTCAAAGACACTTCTTCACCATTCCGATTCGAAGCCCTTTTCGTATAGGCTTAAGGCACGACGTCAGGTAAAAGTATATTAATTTAGAAATTTTATACAATTTATTTATTATTATTGATTAATAAAATTTTCTTAATGTTTTTTTTTCTTCAGGAGGGTTCTAAGTTCCCAGAGATCGACATGTTCGAGGATGTTTACGTTCGAACTGGAGATGCGAACACTGAGCATCTTCATGTAAGTAAATGTAATTGTTATTATTCTTATATGTATGCATGAATCGTTCAAATATTATTTATATATATGTTTTTTCTTTATTATTACAGGCTCTTATGGTGGAAAAGCGCACTGCTGTTATCCAAGAAGCAACATCGCAACTTCCCCCTGAGACCCCGATTGAGGACGTCCCGGTACCCGAGGATGCAGGTTTTCAGATCCTGACTGATGTCTTGGATCAGAACCTTGGTCGTCGTCACGGCAAGGTTGTTCGTGGCATGGGGAAAGCACGAGTTCGTGAGACTGGTGCCTCTTCTTCCAGATCGAACACCGCAGAGGTCGATTCATTGAAGGAGCAAGTGACAACCCTACAGGGTTAGCTTCAGGTCCAGGGCGAGCAGATGAGGGAGCAGATAAGGGCCCAGGGCGAGCAGCTGCAGGCTTATGCTGGCCACATGAGAGACCTTGTACGAGCCATAGAGATGACTGGCCTCCAAATCTCGCTACCAGTAGTACTTGATCTTGCTACACCTTCGACTTTCGAGCCACTTCACCCTACTGATACCTAGTAGCCATTTCACCAAGAAGATTACTTGTAGTTTTTTTCTTTTTCATTCGGACATATACAATACATTTCCATATATATATATATATATATGGAAATGTATAAACCCTATATATATATATATATATATATTATAATGAAATATTTTTCTTTGGTGCATTAATTATTGTTTAGAATTTTAATTACAATATTATTTAAAAAGTTAAGAAAATAATATTTTTGACCATTTCTTCAAAAAAAAAAAATTCACGAAAATCCACTTTGCGCGACGTATACTACGTCGCGCAAAGTCACGCGACGCTACTTTGCGCGACGCAGCATACGTCGCTCAAAGTTAATTTGCGCGACGCATGTAACCCTTCGTCGCGCAAATCAAAGTGGATTTGCACGACGTATCATACGTTGCGCAAAGTGGATTTGCGCGACGTAGGATTACATGCGTCGCGCAAATTCACTTTGCGCGACGTATGATGCGTCGCGCAAATCAACTTTGCGCGACGTAGGCTGCGTCGCGCAAAGTGGATTTGCGCGACGACGGGTTACATGCGTCGCGCAAAGTGGATTTGCGCGACGAAGGGTTACATGCGTCGCGCAAAGCCTTCTGTCACTGCCTTGCCGCGACGGTTTGCGCGCGACCAAGGTGAGTTGGGCAAAGTTTTGCACGACGTTTTGACTTTGCGCGACGAAGGACCTGCGTCGCGCAAAGTGTTTTTTTTACTAGTGTTGCTTTGTAATCCCTACAATCATGGCTGCCCTTACTGCAAGCACTAGAATCCTGACGAATGTCACAATTTTGAAATTTGATTGAAAGACTTGCACCAATTTGAAATGTAAAAACCCAAAGAGTCTCCACTCCACCCATTCCCATCACTGTTTGTCAATCTCGAGCCACTGTTTTATTTTTTTTCCCGGATTTTTGGGACTTGGCGGTTGTCATGCATGAAAAGGATTTGATATGCTCATGAAATATTCACTAGGCTTTGGCAAATTATTCTAATCCATGATAGACTTCCTTTTGTATATCAATGTTAATAGTGAAACCTTATTTTTCTTAACAAACAATATTATCTACAATAAAAATGTGAGATGGCAGGCTAAGTCTCACAATGGATTAGCCATAATAATATTGTTCAAATTCGCATTTGGCGATAATCGAATCTAAGACATTTCACTTACAAGTAAAGAGTAATACACATAGACCGTAGTACTATGTGGCACAACCACTTTTTATGTTACAATATAAATTTCATAATTGAAACATTCCAATTTCATAGATTAAATTTCACTTTTTATGTCCAGTGGTGGTGGTCTCGAGCCTCGGTTGTTTGTCATGTTGCCAAAAAATGATCGGAAAACTCGCGGGTTGCTTGAGTTTTGACCCCAACGATCATGAATGAGATTCTTGAGAAGGCTAGGTGTTTTGGACTCTTGAGGATGAGATGAAATTGGTGGTGGCTTCGATTTGGACAATGTTGGTCGGGATGACAGTGCACTGTGTCTGCACAGTGATAAAGGGAGAGATAGTGCGTGAGGGAGAAAGTGAGAGAAGAGAGAGGGAGGGAGAGAGAGAGAGGAGAGAGAGAAATCAGGAAATGGGAGCACATAACTCATTTATATACTGGCAATTAAGTCATTTTAAGATGTAGAAAAATTCTCTCTGTCCGATTTTTGTGCATGACGTGTGCATATTTGAATTATCCTATTTCTATTCCAATATTAAAATACTGTCATATTTCTGAATATTTCTCTTTAAAAAATTATTCGTGCATTAAATACAATTGTGACCCATCTTTTCAATTTTTTTTTTCTTTTTCAAGTAATGAAGAAACAATTGTAATATATGAAATGTCCGTATAATTTAAAGAACCAATTATATTGATACAACGAAGTTAGGAACGAGTTCCTTGATCAAGTTTGATATGGACTGAGACGTCGTGTATCAATGTAAACTAGGTAGGATTGCTACCCTACAGAACAAGGCAAGTACCAGACGACGTGTCAAGAAATCAGGACATGTGATGATCACCCAGCCCCAGTTGAAACGTAGTCATGTAGTATATATGCCACATGCCCCATGGTGCACCGCAAACTAGCTAGAAGAATTCTCACAACTCTCTCACACACACACTCTCTAGACACACACACACACACTCACTCTCTCTCTCTCTCTCTCTCTCTCTCTCTCTCTCTCTCTCTCTCGACGCGCGCGCGCGCGCGCACACACTATATATATATCACTCACTGTTTTACGATGAGAGAATATGGAGTTCCATGATCAAAGACAGAGCAACGGAGCCGTGAATCTGGTGATCAAGGCAAGGGCCAAGCTCAGGTATGTATAATCCTCAACTTTCCTATGGATTCTCTTCATGAATGCATATATATAGAAAGCCTTTAAAGGAAGAGATCCTTATTTTTTTTAAATAAAAATATGGATTAGTTGTAGGGTTTACACGACAACAAATTTTAACGATCCGAACCGTCTATTTTTTAAATTGCATCTTATAAATCATCCTTACAAAATATTGGTCAAATCGAAAATATTTAAGACATTTAATTGGGTTAAAAAAAAATTAAAGTATATTTTGTTATATAAGAAACAATGAAATTTTATCTTGATAATTAAATAGTCAAATGATTTTGGATTGAATTGAATTTTTGCAAGGATGATCTATGAATCGAGATTTACAAACTAGACGGTTCTGATTGTTGAAGTTTGATATGAAGTGAGTCTCACATCTATCCTTTTGCATAAAGGGACTCCACACACATATGTATATGTGTGTGTTCGTGTGTGTGTGTCTGTGTAATGTACCGACCAATATGACAACATATAATATAGTATATGTCAGAGGTGGAATACGGTTCAGATTGTTGAAATTTGATATGAAGTGAGTCTCACATCTATCCTTTTGCATAAAGGGACTACACACATATATATGTGTGATGTACCGACCAATATGACAACATATAATATAGTATATGTCAGAGGTGGAATTGATAATATGATTAAGATCCATATCCTTCAGTTCAATGGGCATAATGATTCTAATTTCAGATTACTTTTCGATAATGTGAAGAAAAAAAATCCCCCTAGATCATGAACTTATTTTTCATGCTATATTTTCATGTTATATTATGTTTGATGGTTACACTTATGGAGGGTGAAAAAATTAAGGGATTATGTTCTTACAAGTGGTTATTGTCTCATATTAGTTTTATAATAGAATTTTCTTCAATTTTTCATAATATTATAACATGTCAAACTTTATTTTCCAAATATTATAACATGTTAAGTTAAGTGTCCAACTGTATATTGATCTCACGTGATCAAATATGTATTGTTCGCATATTAAACTTAAATTACCCCTTATAGTAGGCTTAAATAACTCTTCAAGTAAGATGGCGTGGCAAGAGTAATCCCATCTCCAAAAAAATTAAGAGATGTTCTGCAAAATGGTTTTTTTTTTTTGGTCAAGGAGGACTTATATAACAAAGTCCAAACGGACACAGTACAAAGACAACAACCTCATAACTGAGGGAGGTACAAAAGAGACGCCACATATGCATTGATCGCATGAGTAAAGGTTCTCAATTATACCTAATAAACAAAAAATTACATAAGATATGGCTCGGCCCAAAAGCCAGAGTCCACCCGAAGAGGCCCAAAAGTGACCCCTCTACAAAACCTGATAACCCTAAGCCGAGAAACACCCGCCGCCACAACCGCCGCCGAAAAGATGGAGACGCCCGGCGAACGGAACACCTGTGAGATACCACCGCATAGAGCAATACAAAAACCCATCAAAGCTTCAGAGATGTAGAAAAGAAACCCCACCTGCAGATCAGGAATATCCCACACCTTCTCGAACGCCACACCTTCGGTCCTCAGACGAACACAAACACAAACGAGTACCCAGAACCAAGCTGTAACCAAAAAGGTCAGGTGGTGTAAACACCATTCTAAACAGATACCAGACCTTTGTAGGGGTGACAACATATAGTTGTCTCTGACCAGAAGCAGCATACAAGAGATGAGATGAAATCCCCCAAAACAGGAGTGGAATTTGAGAGCAGATTCGAAGTATTGGAGTTGATTGAGAGTAGAACCCCAAAGTCGACCCCACGAACCCCAAATCTGTTCCCACAAACCCCAAATCAACGGAATAGTACCTTGAAACAAGGGCACAAAACCCGGAAACAGAGTTCCGGCCATACCACCACTAGATGGCTGGTTGCTCCACCGATCCAAGAAAAGGGTCGGGGCAATCGTATTTGCGGGGAGGGATAAAGCCCCTGGAGATAGATCTCCAACCACAACGGGAACCGGGACCATAGCCGAGCGAGGAAGTAAAAGGGGAGGAGGATAACACATAAATTGAAAGGGTAGCAGCCACCGGCCCCAAGCAGGAGCTGGAGGCCGGCGGCGGAAGGGTTTTCTGCGAGGGGTTTTTTAGAGAGAGAGAGAGTACAGACTACAGGACAGACAGCTTTTGCAAAATGGTTATTTAACTTTACAGTAAAACATCAACATTTTTTAGTACTATATTTTTCCTTCATAGTCGAACTTGTATCTTTCAGGTCTCAGGAAAGGACTGGCCAAATGATGGGCTCTTTAGAAGACCAAGCTCATGAAGGAGGGGACCCGAACTACCACGCGATCCGGGAGGCAAAGGAGGTAGGGAAGCATAAGAAGTATCACAAATCACAATTGATCATAACACAAAACCATAATCCATAAGCTAACAAAGAAGACTAGCTTGAAGAACTCCCATTTGATAAAGCTATGGATCAATAAAATTGCGGAACCAAACACAGTAGTGCTTCCCTTCTTTGTCGGAATCCCAATCTTCAAACTAAGAGGGAGCTGAGGCGACTATATATACTATCTTTGCTTCTCTCTTGAAATTATAGGAAAATGCTTTCTACAATATATCATTTTAATGCTTGGAAATAATCCTTCACCAATAAGGATTAGCATTATAAGACATTAAAATTGGACTGAAACAGCCGGCCACCTGATCTCAAAAGCTCATACTCTAAGCATATATAGCCGGACTTAGATTTCCCATGTCTCAGGAAAGAACTGGCCTGATGGTGAGCTCATTAGAAAATAAGGGCCAAGGAGGAGGGGACCCGATCTACGACGCTATCCAAGAGGCAAAGGAGGTGATGAAGCTGAAGGCTCAAAAGGAGAAGACTGGGGAGTATATGAATCCGATGGATCAAACCTATAAGGGTGTTCTTACCATTGACAAGAAGGATGATTAGAGATAGAGGGAGGAAGCAGTGGTGGAAAAATATTGGATATTTTTGGACTTCGATTAATTTTCCCTAACTTTTTTCTATGTCAGATTGCTGCTTGATACATGCTTAAAGATAGAAAAGTCCTATGTGGTATTAGTCTATTACATGGGATTGTTTATATTTTGGTGTTACTAGTCACGCCGTACTATAAATAAAATTTTCGTAATTTTCAGTTGACACATATATGTATTTATAATACAGGTGATATTTATTATTTTAACTCTTATTAATAGGGGGTTTTGAATTCAGAACGAAATGAGGATTTGAATTTAAGACGAAGTGGATTGAAAATGAAAGCTTTAATCATCTGAACAATTTACTACTTACCTTAGTCAATGAATGAAAAGAAAAGTTCTAACCATCTGAACAATTTACTACTTTAGTCAATGAAGATCATCCACTCCATCTACTACTTCATGAATTAATCTATTCAGAAAGCATGTTGTTTGCATGAACTAAAAAAATCAAAGGCTTATTAGAAACAAAAGTCACAGTACTTCTGCTTTGTTTGTTTGTTTGTTTTTTTTTTAATTAACACTTAAAACTATGAACATAAGTTATGCATGTGTTAACTTGAAAGCTGCATCAAATTACAACAATGAGAATAAAATAGAAAATAGGTGAATGCCAAATTACCCTTCAGCTTTAGATTTATATTAAATTTGTGTTAATATAAACTGAACAACATTGACATGTACCTATGTGATTAAAAATGATGCAGGTTAGCTTAATATAAAGTATATACTATAGTTTATGAGCTGATAGTTTTTATTAAAACCAACAAATTAAAAAAAGAACAATACTTGGCTGCTGAAAATTCAGTAGCCATTCCTACTTTCACCCAATCATATTTGGACACGTGTTCAATTTGTGTTTATAATTTCATTATTTGGACACGTGTCAAAATTTGATTGGTTGAAAGTAGGAATGGCTGCTGAATTTTCAGCAGCCAAGTATTGTTCTTAAAAAAAAAGGTTTAAGAGTATACCTACTTGTAATGCTCTAATTGATTCTTAATTGAAGAAGAGCTCAAGTAAATAAAACTTTATGTCTAACCATTATTTCGTTTTTTGTTTTTACTTTTTTGTGCTAGTGATAGAGAAGAAATATCAGTGTTACAGAAAAGTTTATTCTCATTTACCTCCCTAAAGAATCACATTCCTTACAGATTAGGAATGTCACACTCGATTTCGTGTAGAACTCACAGATAACTTTCAGTTTCTTGATGAAATTAAACAAGGGAGAAATTTGGAATATGAATTAATCTCGTTCTGCTTCTCATTCCAAATTAGTAAACATGTGTTTAACTCAGGGTTGATAAAGTCACTCAGTACTACGATCTGGTGATATCTCTCTTTGCTTAGAAGTAGTGAGAGGTCTTAGGTTCGAATATCGTAGATGGCAAATTTGATATCAAATTAGGTTGCCCATTGTATGGCTTAGCCGAACTCCCCCTCCTTCTAGTGTAAAAATATCGATATACTCAAAAAAAAAAAAAAAAAAAAAAACCTCAGGGTTGATAAAAGAAACTCGGGTCGGGTATTTGGGAACCCGATGGTCCAGGACTCAACTTTTGGGATTTTGAGACGTAACCGTTTGGCCTAGTCCAATTACGATAAAGTCCAGACCAGAACAAGAGACTGAGGGTAGTATAGTCTTTTAACACCTGGCAGACGCCATCCGTGTCTCTCTTGTGTATATATAGAGCTAGCACGCCTCCTACTTTTTCAATTTTGCTTAGAAACGCTCGCTCTCTTCTGCGGAAGTTTCCCCAAAGTCTTCAACGACAACAACCTCCGGTAAATTCCGAACCCTAAAATCCTTTACAGTTCGATACGATCTATTTCTTCGATTTATTTTCGCAGATCGTGAAATTATTACTGAGTTTTGATTGATTTCGTTATTTTGGGTTCGAAAACTATGAAAATTTTGAATTTTTAGCGCAAAGATTGTCAATTTTTGTGGATAATTTTAGCTTTCTTTAACTTTGTGGTTTTGGCTGCTTTTAATTTGGGTTGATGGCTTCTCTGAACATGTTAGGATCGTTTGTTCATGCTGAAATGTCGAATGGGTCAACTGTGAATATTGAATATGGGCAAAGGGATTTCGGTGAGGCTTCTGGGTGTAATTTTATGATTTGGGTAGTGTTGAATGGCTGCTATTTAGGTAATGATGTTGCGTTTTATGTATTGATGTCGAAGATATAAGGAAAAATTGGTAATTTAATTGGAAGGCTAGGAATTGAACTAGAACTAGGAGCTAGGTTGAGTTTCTTTGAAATCTAATTATTTTATGTATTTTGGTCGAGTGTGTCTATTTTCATGAATCACTAGTGGCTAAGTGGTATGGGTCGTGTGGTGGGTGGTGAGCTTCGTTGAAATTGTATGTGTATTTTTTTTTTTTGAGAAGAGAAATTGTATGTGTATATGGGTACTTAGTTTGTAGTTAAGCCTGGATAAATACAAGAAATTTATTTTCAACTGACTCTGCAATGGCAGTAGCCCCGTGCACTGGGCTGCACATTTGTGCAGGTTTCTTGGAGTTTGCTAGTAATTATTTATTAGCGTTCATGATTAAGGTGTTGCTTTCTATTGTGGCGTCAAAGTTAGTTATACAGAAAAGGAGTTGATAGATTTTGTTATATTCTTTTTACCTGACTAGTGATTAGTAATGGTTCAGTTGTTTTGTTTGGATCAAATGGTTCTATTAGTATACTTATGACATATCAACAATTATGATCTCTGCAATTTAAGATTGAGAATACAATCATGCACATAAGCACCCACAGATTATGCCACACAAAGGCCTTTTTTTCGTTAAGATTTGTTAAAGTCTGGTTTTCCGAATCTGCTATGCATTTTTTTCAGTCTTTCGTAATATATGTAATATATTTCTTTCCTACATTTAACGCTTCCTAATGTTCTGTGTTGAAAAAAGTAGGTTTTAGTATTCTGTGGTGGCTTCTTAACTTCAAAAATGCCTAAAGTTAGAAGAGATAGTTCCTTGTCTCTTGATCGATCTAGGGCATCTCCTTATCCGTGCACCTCTGATGATTCTGATGCTTACAACCTGAAAAATCCTTTGGAAAGCAAAGATAACGCAAAAGAGTGGGAAGAAGCTAGGTGCCCCATCTGCATGGAACACGCACACAATGCTGTTCTTTTAAAATGCTCATCTCATGAGAAGGGCTGCAGGCCTTTCATGTGCAATACAAGCTATCGGCACTCAAATTGCTTTGACCAGTTTTGTAAGTCATCTTCGCCTTGCTGCTCAACAGTTATGTTGCAGGAACTTCCTCTCACACACACCTCTCACATTGCTAGCGAGGAACAGTCGTCGCCTGGGCAAAGCAGCCCCTGTGGCAGTCAATTGGATTTGAAGCCAGTTTGCCCTCTTTGTCGTGGAGAGATATATGGGTATGTTGTTGTAGAGGCTGCTCGCCACTTCATGAATGCCAAAGTGAGGAATTGCTCTTCTGAGACATGTGACTTTAGTGGGACTTATTCAGAACTGAGGAAGCATGCTAGGTCTGAACATCCTGCTGTCCGTCCATCCGAGGTGGATCCAAATCGGCATAGTGATTGGGTAAGGTTGGAGCGTGAAAGGGACTTGGAAGATGTTCTTAGCTTGGTCCAACAAGGACCCGGAGATGAACTTCTTGATGATTCATCAGGGGATCTTAATTCCTGGATGTCGACCGTGTTCGCTGCAATGTTTCGTTCTCTTGAGGTCATGCTTGTGACTCGTTTGATGGATTCTTCAAGTGGCTCTTCAAGTGGCAGAGAGCAGCAGACGCATAACCGCAGATCAGGAAGGACATCCAGGGTTCATTATGACAATGATACCATTCCTTCCACTAGACGGAGCAACAATGTATCAGATAGTACATCTCGTCCCAGACGTCTGCGTTGGCGGGCACTGAATGATGATGTGGGGACTAGTCGTTCCAGATGGGGTCGCAATTCCATGTCTGGGGAGGCTGGTGGTCATGCGCCTAGATGGGGCAACAGTTTGTTATCAGAGCAAAATAGCCGTACCCCTAGATGGGGCAACAACTCCTTGTCAGAGGAAGCTAACCATGCCCCCAGATGGGGCAACAATCCCTTATCAGAGGAGACCAGTCGCGCCTCTAGAATGGGCAACAACTCCTTAACGGAGGAGACCAGTCGTTGGCCTAGATGGGGCAACAACACCTTACCAGAAGAAAGCAGTCGTGCTTCTATATGGGGCAACAACTCCTTACGTGAAGAAACCAATCGTGCTCCTAGATGGGGAAACAACTCCTTAACTGAAGAGACCAGTCGTGCTCCTAGATGGGGCAATGCTTCAGCACCTGAAAATACCCCTCGTACTGGAAGGCTGCGCTGGAGAAATCAAAGATGGCCAACAAATAACAGGCGGTGACTGCGGCAGACTATTATGAGGTCAATTTTCTCGCGCTAAAAGTTAGTGTCAAGATTTTTTATGAAACTACGCTAAAACCTAGTGTCAAGATTCTGTATGTAAGTTTCACATTTCGCAGAAGTGTAGTCATTTTCCAATGTTTCACGTCTTTCTCATCACTCTTTCCTTTTTTTTCCCTTGCTTTTGGCGTTCTCAGATCGAGCAGCCGCAGTAGCATCTTCAGATTACGTCTGTGCTCGGTTGCGGATCGTGTCGGACTGTTTAAGAAGAAGAAGCATTGAATGAACTGCGAAAGCATGAAGTTTCATTTTGTCTGCAATGTTAAAGGGCCTCGAGAACTCTCTTTTCTTTTTTTTCTTTTTTTCACCCTCTTGTTTGATTCATTTTTAGATTGTGTTAGCACGGTTGAGTACTATGTTAGTTATGGTTTCGGTTTATGAGGATGCTTCTGTACACAGGGTCGTTTTATATTTCTGGATTTTTACTTTTTCGCCAAACTTTTTGCAAATAATTTATGGAAAGAATTATTGAATCAGTTGAAGCTACTGGCAACTTTATTTTACCTGATGGAAAGGACGACCTTTATCCTGAGCAATGTATTAAAAGCGTGCGTGACTGAGGTGTCCGAGGGATAGTCCGGCCTAGACATGAGACATAAAGCAAAGCCGTACGAGATCTAAATTTTTTAATATATACACTAAGCGTACACATATATTATATTAAAAAAATATATTAATTGATAATCATCCTGAGCGCATATATATTATAAATATATATAGTTATATATATGTAATAGATGATGAAAAACACAATGAGTACACATATAACAATGCACATAGACAGCACACACATCTATTATATAAAAAAAATAAAAAACATAAAAAAGAAAGGCAGAGAGATGATACTGCAAGGAAGAGTAGGGCTGGGTTCGGTTGGCAAATTATGCCAAATTCTTTGTGCCACTTGGCAGCCACATGTACATAATTACCAAAAATTAAAAATTAGTTACTACTAGCCAACCGTCTTCTTGCAGTTGCCAAAAATTGGTTCGGCCAAAATTATTGGCTAGTTCGGTTGGTAAATGGCACAACTGGTGGTTTACTAAAATCTCAAATTTCTCAAATCAAGAATATATTTTTATTGTGCCTTTCTACAGATTTGCTTAAAAAGATAAAATATAGTTCAACTTTTCTACATGATCGATCGATTGGTGTTAGGGCTTATGATATATGAGTACATCTTCTAACTCCAAAGGGGATACAACAGAAAAAATTCATTTAAAAATAATACTGGAATACAACAGTCCTATGAATACGTAAGATATGCATAAAGCAACACAATAAATCCCCAAGAGAAGGGTTTCACAAATATTTACCTAAATTTGAAAGCTGATGAAGAAGAAGATTTCTGGCAAAGATAGCAGTTGGCCGGATGACAAGGAGGGGTGTGCGTTGAAGAGAAGAAGAAAATTGAGAGAAGGCTGCTAGAAGTCGTGCATATATTTTTCAAACCCTAAAACTAAGGAGTCATTTGTTTTCTAAACCCTAAAACTGAGGAGTCAAGCATGTAAAAAAGTACCTAAAATATCTAAATAGAAAAAAAATATGTATATATATTGGTAGGTATGGCACACCGCCGACATAAAAAATCAATTACCAAAGCCATGCCATTAATTGTCGGTTCGGTAAAATGCCAACCAATTATGAAAAAAATGCCAAAACTATACCCATACCATTATGAGCTGATCGGTAAATCGGCTTATGGAAAAAAATTTCACCCCTAAGGAAGAGGTATGAGGTAGTTAAAACCTACCCAAAATTTGGGTTTGCGAGTTCCAAAAAAAAAAAGCCCTGAGGCGTGCCTAGGCGGCTCCAACGACGCCTTCTACCCACTCTCTCAAAATAGAGACGGCAACCCTCACGCCCAGCCTTAGAGGACGCCTAGGCGCGCTCTGAGGCGAACCTTTTAAAACATTGATCCTGAGCCAAATTAGCTGATTAGTTGAGTTTATTTAGTGGCTCATAACCTAGTTTGGTAAATTAGACTTTTTTATACAATACTTGTATTTAATACTATCATCATCTGACAGTCAAATATAATTAATGTGAATATATGTATTTAATACAATTAGTATCTAACAGTTAGGATGATAATTGTATTAAATACATCTAAATATTGTAGTCAAACTTAAATTGTTCGATCTGGCTCAATTTCTCGCTTAGCAAGTCAACGTGCCCAACACGTGACACTATTGTATAACAAGCTAAGATGAAATGTGAAAAAGGTTAACGACGAATCTTTGAATAAAACAATGGTTGGTCTCCATGGGCAAATAATTGGGGATGAAAGGACTGGAAGAAACAAAAAGACATAAACGTGACACGGTATTAACAGTTTAGACGTGTTGGGTGGTTCAATTCAAAATCTGGATATATAACAAGAAAATCTCATTAATCTATTCATCAAAATTTCTTAACAAACTCGATGTATGCTCTCATAAGTCCTTGTAGAATTTTAAATCCTATCAAATCTATCACTTTATGTATCTTTTAAAATCTTCCAAAATTTTAATTGACTACACTTGCTGTCGATTTTAAAAATTATAAAGCCTACGTGGCGAGTAGAACGAGTAACTATGAGCTAACTACATCGTTTTTGTGAATGCGGGGTTCCAACTCGCAACCGAGCTCGGTTGAGCAGTAGAATAGATGTGGTGGTGATAGTCGTGTCGATTGCGCTGCTGACTTTCGTGCTCAAGCGATTATGGCCGAGAAAGGAACACGTCTCGGCTTTGGATTCTAGAACTTGAAGACAAGGTTGCCTAGATCATTGGTAAGTTGAGGATCTCCTCTCCTACACCAAGTTTGGCTGCCTCGACTATATTCATCAGAACATAGGTGCGCTGAATCGATATCAGGCTATAGGGAACACAGGTACTCAAAAGAGATGAGCGTTTTAATGGTGAATGTTGTTCGGCCGTCTAAGTGCCAAATTGCAAAATTCACATGAGAGTAACCAATCATAGAACACTCTACTTCGCTATGAAACTAATGAAGTGACCTGTTTCGGTAATAAGTTAAAAACTTCTTCACCGACCGAGACTTGGATAGATAACCAATCAACTAGAAGTAGTGTTGTTAGTCCAAATTGAAGATGCTCCCTGACTGTTTGATTCTATGGCTTCAGTGCTGTTAGTCCATGAAGATGTCGCCGATTCTCAACACAGTGTTGTTAGTCTAAACTGAAGATGTGTTGACATGAGAGTTAGGATAGTTAGTGTTTTTAGGGTTTTAGGTAGAGCGAAGAGTTTTCGCGCAGTGCATTTTAAGTTGTTTGTTGAGTTGAAGTGACTTTAATGTTGCGGACCCTTTTCTATTTATAGGTGAGGTATCTGTAATAAACAAGCCTGCCAAGGCAGAGTCCTGATGGGATTGTATTTGCTTGGCATTTGCTTCAATATTCCCCTTATCCTTTAATGGCCAAAACTTCATCTTCATCAAGTCTCGGCCTATTTCATTCCAACTAGGAGCTCGGCATCTGCTTCAATATTTCTCTTATCCTTTAATGGCCAAACTTCATCTTCATCCAGCCTCAGCCTCTTTCATTCCAACTAGGACTCATGAATCTAGTCTCATTATGAGATTCATTCATCTTTATCTACTTGAGCAAGCATTCTAATCCATTGGGTAATTCATATTTATTAAAGTTTCAATCTAATCTTTTGCAATCTCATTTCGTATAGGACTTGACCGAGCCACCCACACTTGGTTTCTTCATAGTCCTTCCATCATTAGGACTCGGTTGAAATGATCCTCTTTGTGGGGCTAAAAGCCCATTGGGTTGAAGGACGCATACTAGGCCGAGAATCATGATCAACCCATCTTTGCCCAAACTGTTGTTTCATGCCCAAAAACACTCGCTAAGTGAATTTTACAAAATTTTGAGTCACAAGGAAAATTGACAATCATCATAAATTTCAAGGGTAAATTGAAATAAGTAAAATTCAAGGCAGGAATTAGAATGTGTAAAAAAATGGACCAAAAATATACCAATAAAAAAGAAGGAAACTGGATTCAAATAGACCGACACACGTTGCAGAAACCTTCAACACACTCGAGAAAAACGCACCGTTTCACCAGGTTCCCTCTTCCTTCTCAGCTCAGAGCTTCAGCCTCCTTCCACGGCGGTTCCACCTCTCTCCTCCTCTTCTTCCAGGTAAATCGATCAAGTTCCCGACTTTCCTTCGTTTTCCGACTAACCAAACAGGATTTTCACATCGGTTTTTATGAATGAATGTTATTGTAAAAAGCTTTCAACTTTCCTTCGTTTTCCGACTAACCAAACACGATTTCATGTTTTTAGGGTTCGCAGCATGGCTAGGTCTCTTTCGAATTTGCTCTTCAAGGGGCTTTCGTTTTCCGGGACGGCTGCTCGTCCTGCCACAATTGTAAGACTTTTCCGGGTTTTCCACATTTGGGTATTAGTAGTTATTGCGGGGGGAAGTGATTTCCGCACACCCATTTCTCCCCCACCTTCCGGTTTACATCAGTTTGTTGATTCTCTTTCGATTTCTTCAATTTGAAGGCGAGAAATAAGAGTGTGTACAAGGAGAAAAAGGAGGTGTAGAAATCACTAATGGTAGTAATGAAACGAAAGTGCGTAACTCAAAGAGTGTTGAGACTGAGAGTTTTGTTCAAATCACACTAAACCCAGTTTTACAATATGGGTTTGTTTTGGATTAAATACTGTTTTATATATGATTTTAAGAAAAAAATACCGTTGTATTTTGATATTACCTGTCTGTGATTGGAAATATGTTTCGGTACAGAGTTAATTGGATTATCTTTGTTCGAACATACCATGAACCCTAAACCCTGAACCCTGTTAGTCATGTGGATTGAGATTTTGATCACATGGTATATATTATATAGTCTGGCAAGAAACATTAATCTTTATTCCGCATGCTTTATGTTTGTGTTTTCAACCGCACCATGTATAGGAGTGTGCACGCAACTACGTGCAGTGTATATGTTATAACAACACGTTAATCCACGCCATGTTTTAAATTTGGATTCATTATACTTCATACTTAATAATGATAACTTTTAATGGTTTCTTTGGTGTTAGGCTCCTGCATCCTTTTATCTTAGTGGCTTGAGATACAACACCAGTGTGCCAAATGAGCCCGACACACATGATGATTTTAAACCGACTAATAAGCTTGAGAGTTCTGACCTTAGCTTGAAGGACCTTGTTGAAAAGGTAGACATATGCCAAACAAATCTTCTTAATATAATATTTTTCTTTCCCTTTGTCATCTGGATGAAGGTTTATTGTTTGTTACGTTCAATGATTCTGATATGTTTCTGGTGTAGGATGTCAAGGACAACCCTGTAATGCTTTACATGAAAGGAGGGCCTGAACTTCCTCAATGTGGATTCAGCTCACTTGCTGTTAGAGTATTAAAACTATATGGTAAGTGCCGAGTCATTCAACACTCCAACTTTCATTCATGGCTTTCTAAAGTTCATTTAGCAACCAAATCTATCGACGTATGAATGGAAATAACTGAAATGAAAGCAAAGTGGTGCTCAATATCTTCATGATTGTTCATATGTTCCATCAAAGTGAGATGCCTCTAGCTAAAGATGGATATAAATAGCTCGCTAATGTCAAACAATACATAGAGGTGCATTTGATACTTCCTGCATAAAGAGTCAGTTTCTTACAAATACGCGATGCACCTAATCAACTAGAAATTTCGACAATGGCTAAAACATAGTCAGGCATATGTTGTTCATAAAGTAATCCGGAATGAAGTAGAGTACTGTTTCGGTGCACAAGGCTCCCGCTTTACGCAGTGATTGACTAAAAAGGTCGTACCCAGTGCACAAGGCTTCCGCTTTACGCAGGGTCTGGGAGAGGTGAATGTCGGCTAGCCTTACCCCCATTTATGGAGAGGCTGCTTCCAAGTCTCGAACCCGAGACCTACCGCTCATGGGCGAAGGCACTTGCCATCGCACCAAGTGCGACCTCTTTACGCAGTGATTGACTGATTGAATTAATTTTCTTTTCAAGTTTACTTATTGCATGAAGTATGTTGAGTGAACCTCTTCTGATTTGTTTCACTTTTCAAGTTTTTTGGAAATTTAATTCAATAGGTAGTCCAACAAGAAATTATGAATTAACTGGTTCTATGTTACCGAGTATAGCTTGAGGTTATGAACAGACATGACTATAACAAGGTTACTTTCGTGTGTTGTTATGTTCTGCTGCTAATTATTTTCTTATGATAATTGTGAATTTTTCAGAAGTTCCTTTGGCTTCTAGAAATATCTTGGAAGACCCTGAACTGAAAAGTGCTGTAAAAGCCTTTAGGTGAGTTGATTCTTTGCCGTTAGTTTTTAAAGGTTTCCCACTCTGGTTTTAGTTTATATAATTTTGCCTTTCCAAATTTGTGAGCACAGCTTATTAACGAAAGTAGTAAGCAAATCTTTTCTTTTTTTGGTTAAGTACATAGTACTATTTATTAAGAAATCGTGGTTGAATGAAGGATTATGATTGTCACGAATTGTGATCGAATTATAGAACTCATTGTTTTCGTTGGAAGTTAAAACCTACCCCTTTTCACTAATGATCGTGCAAACCTGAAACGAAAACTACTTCAAATTTTGTTCGTTATACAGAGACAGGACCGTCGATTATGCTTAACGTAGGCATTTTGGCCTTTTTGATTTGGAGTTGATTTCTTAACTTCCTTTTTTTACCTATGAAGCCACTGGCCGACGTTTCCTCAGATATTCATCAAGGGGGAGTTCGTCGGAGGGTCAGATATTATTCTCAATATGCATCAGGTTAGTCCTTATAAATTCGATTAGTTACTGTATTTTTTGTTATATATTCAAGGCAACGCATTTGTTGTAAGAATGTTGTATTTTCGTTTGTAGAGTGGTGAACTGAAGGAAAAGCTTAAGGACATCTCAGGCGGTCAAGAGAAGAAATCTGAATAAGTTGTTGAATTTGGACTGTGGAGTGCAGAGTGATACATTTCATCCATGTTTTTCTTTTGTTGCTGAAAGATGACAAATATGTGGGATTATGCATCACTGGAGTTAATAAACCTAATTTTATCATATCAAGATTCAAGAGGAATAAATCTCGCTTATTTATTTATCTCATTTCGTCCTTGTGCAATATATCTAGTTTTCATGTGAGATTGGGTTTGAGTTAGTTGCTCTGGTGCGATGGGATTGGATTGGATAACTCGTTGTATTTAAGGAACGTTGATGGAAGAAATTTTGTCCGACTTGAAGGAAGAATTTTTAAATCCATAAAAAAAATATATATATGTCGGATTTCGTATAATTCCCGAATATGAAAAATCATTCACCCTTACCTTTACAAGGCTCTTGAATTGTACGAGGTAATCAATCCATCCAATCCTAGAAAGTAGAAACTGAACTGAGTCCTAAGATATGTAGATTTAAATTTGAAGCGAGGAAAACCGGAATTAAAGTATAGAACAAAACAATTCAATTAAAAATGGGTTGCTTAAAAACATGATTACCGAGCACAAAACGGTCCCGTATTAGACATTTAGAAAGTCCTCAAAGAACCTTTACATATATTTTTCCGCGCCTTCAAAGGGTCCCCAGACCGCCTCATGTGGATCTGCCCATGCCTAGACACATTTGTTTATTTCCCTCCCTTGAAATAAGATGCAAGTCAACGACTTCCACTACTGGAGTGAAAAATCAAACCTCATTGCAACCAAAGAAATGCTTTTTCATAAGCATCAAGAAAAAAAAATTGAAATATTCATGTTCCAACTGCTTCTTCTGATCCAATCCATCAACACCAAGACGGACGATTTAGTGAAACCAGAAAGAGTATAGTTACCATCCACTTTATTTATGATTTTTCATTACTCTGATTTTTCATACTAGAAAGGAAGAACCGAACATAAAACGAGTAAATTTATGATTCTTAAGAAATTCAATTTGACTAAAAAATAAGGAGTTTTAACGAAACACTGTTGGTACTGTTTTTTTTTAACGAAAAAGACATTTTTACACTAAAAAATCACTCATGGTGCTATTCACTTACAACACATTTTTGTCCTTTTAATTAAAACTCAAGGTTTTCAAACCCTTTTCATTAGTTTTTCTGAAAAAAAAAAAAAAGACCTTGCTACAATAGATGTGCGTATTCTTCGCAAGAAAATGCAAAAGCAATTGAAACGAATTTCGTTTGTTCATATCATTCCAAACTCTACATAGACAAAAGCAGACCAAAAGCGGACTAGGGAAAAAGGAAAACTTCAAGACATACATTTCCCCAGGACCAACTCTCTTTGTCAATATAGTACAGAAAAACTGCAGATCGGTATCAGATCATACGATGAATGCCTATTAGCGTCGGACAATGTTTCAAGACAAATCTACTTTTTAACTACCAGAGAGACAACATTAACTGATGCCACAAATACATACCGCCTGCGACGACTGCAAGACTTTCCTGCACGGATGATGTTTTAAGCAACAAACTGCAGTTCTTGTCACAAGCCTCAATTTCACACATTGCAATGAAAACAGTAATCTTTTACCCTGAAAATTTTGTCGAGGTGTGTAGCAGTGTTGCCATGCTTTTCATTTCCCTGAGCTTGCTGAACATAAATATCGAAGCATATATTCGTTGGAAGAACAGGTCTCCTTCAAATCCTGATGTGTTCTTGTTATTGCCTTCTGTAGGGATTTTAAAGCAGGAAGCAGCTTTCGAAAGTTTTGTTGAATAGAGTTACCATGAACCTTGCAGAGTTCCTGCAAGACAAAACAAACACAAACCATCAGTGCGGTCCTGATATGAAAACAATCCCACTGTAAGAGGTATACAGCATCTGAACTGAGCAGAAACGGAAGTCAATAGAAGTTACCTGACACCACTGAAGAATGAACTCCACATGCGGGCAACTTTCCAAAAGATCTGCTAATGCCTCGATTAACCTTTGCAAATATCTGTAAGGAATTGATGAGACGACAGCAGGGATGTCTATCGGACTAACTTTGAAAATACACTTTTTAATTAGACTGTCTTCATTTAATCTGAGACTGAGGATTAAAGCCTTGCTCAATTTATCTTCATTGAGTGCAGCATCAACAGCCTGCAGAACAATGTGATCAGAAAACAAATGAAAACAAAACAAAATTGAAGGTAGAAATCTACAAAAACTAAGAAAATTAGTGCCATTTTAACGAAGGGTCTCACTATTTAAAATAAAATTCTCGCAAGCCTTCCAATCAGGAATTCTTTAATATCCATTATAAACCTTGGATAAGATAACATTCAAGGACTGGTTAAAACATAAATCTCTCTCCCCTCCCCATCCACTCTCCCTGCCACCGTCATCCAGCTGCTTGCCTCCTCTAGATTTCAAAGGTGGACAGTCTACCTAGTTTTTCTTTCATTAAGTTTATGTTTTTATCAGACAAATATTGATGTTTATAGAAAATTGAATTTAATTAGAGCAATTGTAGTATTATGGTGGCATACTGAGTTTTAAATAAACAACATTTTGAAATTGTTTAATGGTAATCTAAGTAGAGGGATGTTCAGAATATTTCAAAGTTTCACCAAGTACCTCAGGTGTGACATCTATGTCAAGATCAGTTGGGTCAAAGATAAAAGAATCATCAATAGAATAAACTAGAACTCCCTCTGTTGTTGCGGCTGAGAAGCTCCGACCAGTGGGGGCAATTCTCAAGCATTTTGTTCTAACAACTGGCCTTCCACGGTTAGGCATGGATCCTGGTAAATCATAACCCAACTTTCCCCGGGTTTGTTTATCAACACCTTCTTCTATATCACTGTTATCATCGTCAATTAAATCCAGTGGTCCAGCATCTGTCATATTCTTTGAGTTTAAGAAGTCAAGAACTCCATCCAAAGATAGATTGTGAGTTATTTGAAACCTCCGCAGCAACACCTGCGAAAATAAATCCACTACATCAATAGACCTAAGAACTTTAGGTTTTAACATAATGAAGAAGTGGAATTCCTCTACAAGCTAGATTCAGAGAAAAAACCATGGTACTGAGTGAGGCAGAAGGACAATTCTATACAACATAGACAAGGACAATTCTATACATCCTAACTTTTCTTTTCCCAACTTATAGGGGGCATTCTCACACTGGATTAAAATACATTGTTGTATTACCAATCCAATGATATATTTCTCTCACAGGAAGGGAAGAAAAAAGCATTAGGACAAAAAAGTTGGGGTATTTTCTAAAGAATAGGTTTAGATAATTGATGTAGAAACAAGCGGATTGTAACAGGTTTAAGGCCAAAAACATTCTACCCAAGAGCATATGCATACAAGACGGCAAAAGAAAGAAGCAATATAAAAGTTACACAAGCTGCTTTTTTATATCAAAATATACAACAAGCTGCTTAAAGTTCATTCAAAACTCGAAAGCATTGGGTATTCAGATAACCATGGAAGTTGCACAGCCCTAATCAAAGTCCTCGTTAAATGTTTTATATTCTGAATATGCGACTTGGAGAAATCTTAATTCATTGGGACACTGGCCAAGAGGTGGAAAGTTGTACAGCTCTTATAAAAAGCCTCATCACATATTTGACCTTATCTTCTGAATATGCAACTCGTACATATTCAACAGATCTGTTCCAAATTTGGAGAATATGTATGTTACCTCACTTTTCACTACTTTTCCTGTATATTAAGCATGTGGTTCAAAGCCTTAAAAGCTGCCTACGAACACTCTCTAGATCTATCCCTCTAACTATCTGAAGTTCGAAATATTGGTGTTTGCAACAGGCCTAATAAACTCTAGAGTGTATTTTCCATTAAGCCACTTCAGACACCAATTTTTAATCTATTAACTAATAACCAACGGGACCCGAAGATGGAATGAAAGAAAATTAGGAAGAAAGCATAGATCAAAGGTAATTAGAAACAGACACATTTGAAACCCTGCCAGAAATCATGGGAAGTCTTACATCCGTGTGGCTGAAAAGGTAAATGATGGGGGCAAAAGAAAAAGGATAACAAATAACATACAAGCTTTCTATATATCACAGTTGTTGGCTAAAGTTGCAATAAATCAAAGTAAAGATCATGTCTCATGTAAGAATGTGTAAAAGCTTGTGACCCAACGGTTAATGAAAATATAGCTCATGCGTTTCTGAGCAGTTTCTTTAAAGCATGAAAGAGATGCAAGAGATGTATGTGCATAACTGCATATAGTTCAATGTTTAAGGTCTTGATGTTCCAGCCAGAAAACAAAACAGTAACAAGAATGTGAAAAAATTGAAGTTTGAGAAACATCATTGAGTGTGAATCATGCTGTGGTAAGAAACTAACCTGATCAGCAACATCATACATGCAGATGTATTTGCTACTTCCTCCAGCTAATATGTAACTCCCATCAGCTGAATAACATAAGGTTGTGAAGAACTTTCCTGAACTTGAGTTGGCAGCTGATCTACGATCTGTCATAAGACGACCTCCAGAAATATCCCTACGGCCCTCAATGGTATACATTAATAAACCATCAATCGGGTCCCAGAAATGAATTTGACCGTCTAATGTGCTGCTAGCCAACTGCTTTCCATCTGGACGGTAAACCAATGTAAGAACATCATGTGTATGAGTGAATGTTTCAACGGCACCTTTTCCATCAAAAACATCCCACAACCGAACTGTTCTGTCCCATGATGATGAAGCTAAAATTGCCTGCATGTGGGAGAAAAAACATCTCATCAAGCTCCAAAAGCTATCAATGTTAAACCTTGCAAATAAACTCTTGGTTGCATGAGAATATAAAAACAACATACATAAAGAAAACAACTTAAATCATAAATAGGAAACACCTCTATAAAAGTACATGCATCTGCAACAGCCAGAATGAGCATTATAGAAGCATATGCATTTATAATAAACCAACAGAACAATTATACCAGCAGAACAATCAAATATAATATAACTACTCACATTTGTAGGAGAAAACATCAAACCGTGAACTGGACCTTCATGGCCACTCAGAATATCCAACAGACGGCCTGTCTTCATAGACCAAACAAAGATCTATTGTACATAACATTAAGAAAAGTCAGGAAACAGAAACTAAAATGAAGAATCAAGTCAAAAAGCTATGATCAAAGGGGCAATATACCTCAAAGGAATCAAGGGTTCCAGCACAAATCACTTCACCACTCTGATCTGCTGCCAGTGAAACAAATTGCCTAGTTTCAGGGGTGGTAAATGTTCTAAAATTTCGATAACGGTACAAATCCCATGCACGAACAGTCCCGTCCAGAGAGGCACTTAGGAGACTATGGCTGTTAGCCATAAAATGGAGTGCGGTGATTGCATTAGTGTGCTCAGAGAATGTTATAAAGCAGAAACCTGATGAAACAGTCCAGACCTGCACAAGAAGAAGAGTAAACTCTCTGGGTATGATAGTCCACAATTGCATTTTGTACGAAATATTAATAATCCGCACATTGGCAAGTTGATGTAATTATGAAAGCGCAAATAGAAAATGGGTGTGGTAATGCAACAATACATCACAAACCCACCAAACTGTCATGCATTATTAAACTCACTAGACAATTCTGCAGTACATATATCACCAATGATCATCTGATCTAGTGGCACCCAATCTCCACTTTCTTGGAGAATACCCTGAGATAAAATCTCATGGACAGCAATTGTTGAGTATAAACAAATCATTCGTTATGAGAATCATAAAACAACAATACATCACAAACCCACCAAACTGTCATGCAGTATTAAATTCACTAGACAATTCTATAGTACATATATCCAAGGTACTAAAAGATGCTAGGCACTAGTTGGGCGGCAGGCTAGGGCCTACACCTAGGTGGCTAAGAGGGGGCCCAGGCGGACTACTCGGATTTAAGTAAATTTATTATATATTGTATAAATAAGTGCCTATTATACTTAAAAAAAAAACATACATAATTAAATTGAGATATGTAAATTGAAAAAGAAAATGACATATAAATTATAAAGCATGAAACATATTGAAAACATGGGGATGGGGAATAAGCATATAATGAGTGTTCATCCAAGTATTCAACAAGTCTCTTACATTTTATTAAAAAATTAAAATGCAAAATGAAAGTTATCAATTTTCTGTCCAAGTAAGAGTCACGACCTAGGGTGTCTAGGCAGGTTTAGGCAGTCTAGGCGGGCTAGGTGGATGCCTAAGTGGGTTTAGGCGCACTTTCTTCAACTTTCAAACGCCTAGGTACTAATTGGGGGGGGGGGTAGCTAGCCGCCTAGCCCCTAGGCGGGGATTTTTAGAACAGTGCATATATCACCAATGATCATCTGATCTAGTGGCACCCAATCTCCACTTTCTTGGAGAATATCCTGAGATAAAATCTCATGGACAACAATTGTTGACTATAAAAAAATCATTCTTTTGGGAATCATAAGACAAGAATCAGGTAATGCAAAGCCATCGTAACATACAAATACAATGGACCTACAGTACAAAAGAATTCTAAGTTGCACCTTTCAGTCAGTTATGAAACGAGTCATCATTTATTAAAGGCAACCCATACCACAACCGAAACAAATGGATTAAATAAAAAGGGTTAGTATTACGCTGAAGAAAAACCCACAAAAGTAGAGACAATATATGAATCTGCAGATAACAGCTAACAAGTTACTAATCCTCATTCTTCAATCATAAGAGCTTAAACATATAGCTAAGATGCTTGAAAGAAAATGTTGCATGGAACTACACAAGCAAAGTCCTCTAAATAAAAAGCTTCGCATTCTAAAAACTACTTTACCTTGACTTTGTTATCATCTGCTCCAGTGGCTAACAGTTGCGAATCTGGTGAATAAGCAAGACAATTCACATCGAAGTAATGCCCCTGCTGCTTCAATATATAACTCTCTGACTTCCACTCCCACACAAGCAACTGTCCAAGTTTCGCACACCCAAATGTCAGCCAATTTCCAAGTTCATTAAAAACTGCGGTGGTAATTTTCTCTCTTGATATTGACAACAAGTGCAAGCACACAAAATCAGGCATTTGATATAACCCAAATACACCATTTGAGAACCCAACAACCAACATATTAAGGCCCCTATGATAATCACATGCTGTCAACTTCGCCTGGGACTGCAAAAAATTGTTCTTCCCCAACAACTCCCATTTCCTGTTTCGCAAATACCCACCTTCTTCATCCAAGTCACCTTCCCTGCCCTCATAACCCTTTCTCTTCTTCAAATCACCACTTCCAAAACCTTCAACTTCACCGTCAGCATCCCCATCCGGTGTACCTGGTGAGGGTGGCTCTTTAACATCCATTCCATCAGATTCACCTTCATTGTCACTCAAACCCCAACTAAACACATAACAATCGCGGGTAACCGTATAAACATTGCATACCTTATTCGTGTTCTTATCAATTCCAAAAAACACACCCACAACTGTATCTCTATGACCCAAAAACATAAATGGCTTCCTTTTAACCCCGCCTGATTTCAATTTTTTCATACAGAACAACCTAGCAGTAAAATCTTTTGACCCGATAAGCAAATAATTCGAGTCCGGGCTCCAATCCAATGCTACAACCTTATCATCACAATCAGCAAAAGTCCTAACCAATTCAAACGGAAAAAACTCCTTCTTGAAACCAGGACAGCGCCAAATTTGAACCAACTTACCCGTGGCGACCGCGATAAACGCCCCATTGGGACTGAATTCGATGGCATTGACGGAGTTTTTGAAGGAAATGCGGTGAAGCACCACGCGCTGGCGGAGGTTGATGAAGAGGCATCGGCGGTTGTCGTCGGCTGTGAGGAGAAAGACGCCGTCGGGCGAGGCGGCGATTCGGGAGATGTTGGAGGAAGACTGGACGGGTAGGGTTATGGATTGGGATTTGATGAGGTCGGTGACGGAGACTCTGTTACCGACCGGTGAGATTAGCTCGGTGTTGTTGGTGATTACGGCGTTGCCTCCTCGGTACGGAGCTCCAAGGAGGTTCTGGAACCTGTAGTTCATAACTTTTCACAGATTGAGTTGCCAAGAAAAGCGCAGGACTGAAGAAGCAGAATTTTCTCGGCAACCAAACAGAGGATGAAGAACGTTGAGAGATTTTAGTTACCAGAGCTAAAGGTTTAGCTAGGGTTTAAGCGAAGATAAATTTACACTTTGGGTCCCATCTTTCAGGTCATTTGTCATTTTGCCCTCTTGAAAATTCAGTTTTAACAAATGGGTCATGATATAAGGTTCTTTTTGGGAACTTTGACAATATGAGGGGGCTTTATTGAATTAACATATTACGAAGCGGGCACTATCGGCTGACCCGAAAGTGCAATTTGTATTTCGGTTCGGTTTTATTTATTTATTTTAATTTTTTTTCTTTTTCTTTTAACATACAAAATGAAGAAAAAAGATGGAAAATAAGGCTTTCAACATATTTAGACATAAAGTTTTTTTTTTTTTTGTCAAAATATTTAGACATAAAGTTGTGTTTGCCTAGCCTTGGATTAAAATTAGACAAATGGTGACATGGAATTGGGCTTGAAATATGAAAACCAAACATAAATAAATAAATAAAATATTAATTCATATCTCATGCGGTGCGATTCGGTTTAGTTTTTGAGCCAAACACTGAAACCGAACAATAATTTTTTGTTTAGTTCAGTTTTTTTTTTCAACATTCGATATGATTTCGATTTTTGGAGCCCACCCCTAGAAACAAATAAAGCGTCTCTTACCCATGCAGGGGGACCTCAAACCATTTTAGGGCATGTAATGTAGCTATAGTTTGATAATATTGAGTTTATAAACTTGAAACATACAAAGGATTGATGTGTTACATCAATGGGATGAGGTTATAAGTCCATGACTAATCTTTTGAGGTAACTGTATTCGGATCAGCCTTATTCCAACCTTGAAAAATCATGGTCCCACAATGGTGACATGGAATTGGGCTTGAAAAATGAACACCAAACATAAATAAAATATTAATTTATATATGGTTCGGTTCGGTTCAATTTGATTTTTTGAACCACCAAAATCGAATCGAACCAATAATTTTTTGTTCAATTTGTTTTTTTTTTTTTTTTTGTTTTAGTTAGTTTTTTTTTTTTTTAGTTCGGTTTTCAGTTGGTTTTCAATTCGGTCCGATTTATTTATTTCAATTTTTGGAGCCCACCCCTAAAAACAAATAAATACATCTCGCACCCATGCAGGGGCACCTCTACCTCTATCCATTTTAGGGCATTTCGTGAAAAAAAAAAACCATAGCTATAAATAACATTTATATTATTGAGTTTGTAAAATTGAAACTTACAAAGGATTGATGTGTTGTGTGATGAGTAGATTTTATATTATATATTTTACCCTAATCTTAGTATATTTTGGTTAATATTTTGGAAGAATTTTGATATTTTGAATTGTATTTTCAATATAGGACTTTCAACTTCCTCTGGAGCAAAACAGGACCAAATGGATGAATTTTGTAGTAATTCCAGTTGGAGGACGTTCGTGAGTCACTTAGCTTGATCGTTTCAAACTTTGGGATTTTTCCACCAAACGGTTATTTTCTGGCGATAAAATAAAGGAGCGATGCGCAGTGCTGGAAAATGACGTTTTTGGGCTTAAATTGCGTTTTTGGAGCCCAAGATGACCTCGAATGGGTTTGTGGCCTTCTGGAGAAGTGTTTAGAATGTTCCAAATATTAAATCCAGCTATATTGGGCCAGTTTTGGAGCAGCTTATGGGTCCAAAACGTGGCTGTTCAGATTTTAGGCGAATTTTACCATTTAATTTAGAGTTATGTTTCCTATTTTTATTGGATTATTTTTAGTTTCCTAGGGGGAATAAAGGACCTGTTTTTAGGGTTTGTGTGGGGTTTTAGCAGATATATTGCTTAGCCATCTACAAGTTTTGAGGAGGCTTGTTTTTAGGAAACTTTGGAGACAGAAAGAATTGCTAGGGTTCTTGAAGATTTTCTACTTGGATTTGTTTTTATTCTTATTCATTTTAATTATATTTCCTTTTATTTTTATTATGAGTATATGTAACTAATTCTTTTGCTAGGGTTAGGCCATGAACCTTAGCAAGAATATGTAGTTTTATTAATTTGCTTATGAACGGATGCATGCTTGCTTTGAATTATTAATCACTGCGGTGGAGACTATCTATATATTTTAATGATTGATCACCATTCGGGAATTTAGACAAGTAATTTGATGCAATTTTTGTTGGAACATCACCTTGAAATTGAGAAGGGCTTCTTGTGATTAGTAATTGTAAGTTCACTTAAGGCGAACATCACGCTCTTAAGGGTTACATGGTTTTTCAAAGGGTTTTCACGAAGTTTAGTGAGTCTTGCTTGTTTATATTTGATTTGAACATCACAGACAAATTGCATGCTAGATATACGTTTTCGCTTGAACATCACAAGGAAAATATGCATTAGGAGAACCTAACCTTCAAAGCTTGGATGTGGAAATTCATAAGTAATTGATAGAATTGCATAGGATTGTGACGGTAACGGCTAAACCCTAGTCTTTCCCTAACTTGATTTTAATAAAAACAAACAAAAAACGTTTTTTATTTTTTTTTCTGTTTGCTGCCTTTATTTTCTAACTTCTAGGTTTCTTTAATTGTTAATTCAATATTTTCAAACTCAAACATCTCAAATCTTTGATAAAAATCTGTTTTAATGGTTAATTAAGAGTTGATTTAATTACAAATTAGTCAAACAATCTTTGGAGACAACGACCTTGCATGAACAATTATACTACAATTAAGTATTTTCAGTGATTTTAACCCTATTGCGTAGGTATAAAAAATCCTATCATTGTGAATTCAGTGTGTTACATCATATGTTGTGATTGCAACCCCTCGCAATCTGAGCTTACCATTTGACTCTGCGATGCCGCTTACAGTCACTCTCCCTTCAATTCTTCTGGATGCAGTCTTTAGTCATGTGGCTATAAACAGCACCACATGCCATTCAAACGTGGGGAGGGGCATCTTGATCATCATCTCTCTCCGTCTCCGTTCTATTTTTCTTAGGGTAGTCTTCAGAATCCCTAATCCGATATTATAATTTTAAGGAAAGATGAAATGATGGGGGATTTCAATAAGAATTGGAAAAGAATAGGTGTAAAAGTAGAGCTAATTTCGTATCTCATGAGAGATCGATGCTTATCAGTTCCAGTTCTCATAAACCCAATCACTTGCATCACAGCTCAACATGATATTCAGCTTCTCACGGGTCTCTGTGCATATTAGAGCAACTCCTTCGTTGCTTATTGCTTTGGGGATTAGTAACCCAATCCATTCTCTCCCGGCTCCTCCCCAAAACACTCCAGACCACTCGGGCAATTGGACCCAAGGGGAGTCCGACGGAGAAGTCAGACAATAATCGTTTAGCCCAACGCCCTACTTATGTGACGTCACCATAATGTTAGTCACAATTTAAATTATTAAAACATATAAAAATTATAAAAATTATAAAAAAAAAAAACTAATTAAAAATATAAAAAATTATATTTTTTTTCTTCTATAAATACTAACCATGTTCTTCTACTTTACACTACATTTCAATATTTTCAAATACTTATACCAATCTTTTATTATTATTTGAAATTAAAAATAAAGTTATCTTTTATTATTTTATGAAATAAAAAATACTAATATTTTAATACAAATTGCTTTGGCTATTCAGTTTAGGTGTGGAGATGCACTTTTGCAGTTACTGTTCATTGCAGGCTTCGTTTAAGGGGTTTGAGTTGTCTATTGCCTAGGGGACCTTCCTACACTGGAAGTGCTCTTATGGCCCAAAAGTGTGTAGCAACATCAGATACTGCCATCCATGTCCACTGTTGATTACTGAACTCATCAGTGACGGAGCTAGGAATTCACAACAATGGGGATAAAAAACTAGCTTTCAAAAATCGATCAAAATTTCATTTATAATGTCCACTATGTGTTCTCTTATTTTGGAAACGTCATGTCACAACATCATTATCAATAGAATCAAATACATATTTCACAATGTATACAACCAAGCTATCATTCAACTATTAATTTTCCATCCTATTATGATCCTTGACAATTATCATCGCCTAAAATGCTCTTTCAACAAAAGCTGCAACAAGTAAAATCAATGCTAATTTGACGAGCAAGCACACCAAGAAATAATGTTTATCCCTCTTTGCCTCCACCAACTTTTGTGCAAGACTACTAATTGCTTTCAATCTAAAAATTTCATTATGATAACATACATATAATTCTTAAGTTCATCTTCAAGAAGTGTTAGCTCCATATCAATTTTGGATAAAATTGAGAGATGAACTAACTTTTCAATGTCAAAGGTTGTCTGGGCTTAAGCATGCCACACAAAGAAGTAACTATGTCCTTGCCTCATTAAAACGATTGTTCAACTCTTGAAGTTGCTTATCAATAACATCAATAAAGAGACCAACACGATAATGCGATGAAGGTTTGTCAATTTCTCAACTCTACGCCGTGATCTCCCTCAAGCTACAAAAATATCGTTCATATCAGGAATACCAATATCTCACGTACGTTGGGAAAATTCCACAATCACAACTGCTATCAAGTCAGCTTCATCAATCCGATACTGGACGCTTGAACTGGGGCCGTTCACCGGTCATTGTCGCAGCGCAGTTACCTGAAGGCAATGTTCCCCGGTTTCTGAGTTCTTCTGGTGCACGTCATGAAATGACGGATGATGATACACCTGAGATATTCAGGGAAACTTCTAACCCCAACAAGGTTGCAAACGTTAGCTCACCATCACCGAACCAGAAACGCAGTGTCATCTCCACAATCCCGATCTACGTTGAGGTCAAGCTCTCCAACAGGCTTGAGAAGTGACCGTAAATTCATTTTGCATGCTGTGCCTTCCTTCCCTCCTCCTATTCCAAACCGCAATTCTAAAGAAGGCATCGATGAAATTGGGAATGATGATGAAGCTACCAACAAGAACAATTGGACAACACAGAAGGAGTCGAATAAGGCATGATTCTGGTTTGCTTTTAGAGCTCATTATAGACAATCTGCTTAATAATCGGACAAAGCTACCAACAAGAACGATTGGACAACACAAGCTACTGATCTGCTTCCCACTTCC